TTGTAGTGGAGGACAAGGCAGGCCAGGGCTGTGGGAGCTTGGCTTCCTCCATTGCCAAGGGAAACTCAAGTCTCCTACTCTCTTCAGATCTGTGGCTGCCACCATTTTTGTTGGGATTTATTTATCTTCTATAATTGAAACTTTGTAACCTTGAGTGTAGGCCTGGGCTGGCCAGAGTGGCATGGAAGCTAGGCTAACCCCATTTCCAGAGAAACCCAAGCTTCCTGCTTGCTATAGCTCTGTGGCCACAACCATCTTGGTTAGATTAATTTGCATATATGCTCCTTATTGGCTGGTGGGTGTGGTGTAGTGGAGGTATGGTCAATTTGCATATTACTCTTTTATTAGATAGGATTATATAGGAATTAAGGTATTGCAGATTTGATTCAGAAATATACAAAAATATAAGAGTAGATAGCCACACAATAGGTACACATGTATATAGAGGGTTTTTTTTATTGTCTAAAGTTTTACATATGTCTCCTTTTTATCCTCAATTGACTGTTGCCCCCACCCCTGAACCCCTGCAACCATTCCCACCCTGGGTAAGTCCCCACTGCCCCAGTGTTTGTGTCTATTGGTTATGATAATATGCATGCATACAAGTCCGTTGGTTGCTCTCTAACCCCCCCACCCTTCCTGCCATTTTTCTCTGGATCTATTTTTGTTCATCAAATTATCTTGGTCATTATATCCCCACACTAGAAGCCTGATGCATGAAGATTCGTGCTAGAATGGGCTTTACTTTCCCTGGATACCAGCACCGCCTTTTCACTCCAGCCCAGCCCCTTTCTGCTCAGGCCCCAGAGCCGCCTCTTTCTGCTCTGGGATCTGCCTCTTTCTGCTCCAGCCCCTCCTTCCCACACTGCCAGAGGCCCTGAAAGACTGGGGTGGGGCAGAATGCCTGTGTTGTTGCCATGGTGATGACCCAAATATCCTGCCCCTTTCACTCAGCAGCTGGGTATGCAAATTAACTGCAATTTTTGTTGGGTTAATTTGCATATCTCTCCTGATTGGCTGGTGGCATAGCAGAGATACAGTCAATTTACATGTTGTCTATTATTAGGTAAAATATGAGTGAGATCGTGTGATATTTCTCTTTCTCTGAAAGGCTTATTTTGTTTAACATAATGCTCTCCAGTTCCATCCATACTGTTGCAAATAGTAAAAGTTCCTTCTATTTGATAGCATCGTAGTATGCCATTGTGTAGATGTACCACAGTTTTTTGATCCACTCATCTGCTGATGGGCACTTAGGTTGTTTCCAAATCTTAACTATTGTAAATTGTGCTGCTATGAACATGGGGATACATATATCCTTTCTAATTAGTGTTTCTGCTTTCTTAGGATATAGTCCTAGAAGTGGGATTACTGGGTCAAATGGGCATTCCATTTTTAACCTTTTGAGGAAACTCCATACTGTCTTCCACAGTGGCTGCACCAGTCTGCATTCCCACCAGCAGTGCAGGAGAGTTCCTTTTTCTCCACATCCTCTCCAGTAGTCGTCATTTGTTGATTTGTTGATGATAGCCATTCTGACAGGTGTGAGATGTTTTTGTCGTTTTGATTTGCATCTCTTGGATGATTAGTGACTTTGAACATGTTTTCATATGTCTCTAGGCCTTTTGTATGTCCTCTTTTGAAGCGTACTTAAGTCCTTTGCCCACTTTTTGATTGTATTGTTTATCTTCCTTTTGTTAATTGTATGAGTTTTCTGTAAATTTTGGAGATTAAACCATTATCTGAAATAGAATTGTCAAATACACTGACTGGCCAGATTATTATGATCTCTGAACGCATAATAATCTGACCAAGGTGCATGAATTCATGCATGGGTGGGGTCCAGCCAGCCTGGCCAGGGGGAAGGGACATGGGCGGTTGGCTAGCCTGCCTGCTGGTCGAATTCCTGGTCAAGGGGATAATTTGCATTATATAGGATATACACTGAGTGGCCAGATTATTTTGCATTCAGAGATCATAATAATCTGGCTACTCAGTGTAGTCCTTCCATACAGTGGGCTTTCTTGTTGTTTTGTTGATGGTTTCTTTAGCTGTGCAGAAGCTTTTTATTTTGACCTAGTCCCATTTGTTTATTTTCTTCTTAGTCTCCATTGCCCTAGGAGCTATTTCTATGACATATGTCTGCTTATTTTTTTTTTAATATATTTTTTACTGATTTTTTTACAGAGAGGAAGAGAGAGAGATAGAGAGCCAGAAACGTCAATGAGAGAGAAACATCGACCAGCCGCCTCTTGCACATCCCCTACCAGGGATGTGCCCACAGCCAACGTACATGCCCTTGACCGGAATCGAACCCGGGACCTTTCAGTTCGCAGACCGACGCTCTACCACTGAGCCAAACCGGTTTTGGCCATATGTCTGCTTTTTGATGCCTGTGGAGTCTTGTAGGATTTGTATGATTTTCCATCTTACGTTTAAGTCCTTTAGCCATATTGACTTTGACTTTGTGTATGGTGTAAGTTTGTGATCTAGTTTAAATTTTTTTTTTTTTTTTTTTTTTTTTGCATATAGCTCTCCAAATTTCCTAACACAATTTATTAAAGAGACTGTCTTGACTCCATTGTATGCTCTTGCCTCCTTTGTCAAATATTAATTGAGCATAATGGCATGGGTCAATTTCTGGATTCCCTGTTCTATTCCTTTGGTCTATATGTTTGTCTTTGTGCCAGTACCAGGCAGTTTTGAGAACCGTAGCTTGGTAATATACCTTTATATCTGGTATTGTGATCCCTCCAACTTTGTTTCTATTAGTTTTTTGATGGAGTCTTCTGGGGTTTTGTATATAAAGTATCATGTCATCTACAAATAAGGACAGTTTTACTTCTGTTCCAATTTGGATGCCTTTTATTTCTTCTCATCTGATCTCTGTGGCTAGCACTTTCAGTCTATGTAGAGATTTTTTACACGACAGAAGTAGCAATGCATATAGGTTATGCTGGACAATTAGTTATCAATATATATATATATATTCTTACCTCAGAGCATCCCTGAAAATGAAATTATATCTCTATTTCATACCATATATAATATAAGTTTCAGGTGGATGAATGACTTGAGTGTAAAAGACTAATTTACAAAATTTTCAGGGAATATCTTTATGAACTTGAGATGGGAAGATACTGTGAAAAAAAAAGACAAGATTTCAAACCACAAAGGAGAAGATTGATACATTGAAATAATTAAAAATTTTATAAATGAAAGCATGTCACAGTATAAATCAATCAAAGAAGTAATTCATAAATTTGAAGAAAATATTTATGTAGCACATAGCAGATAAAGGATTATGATCTAGAATATATAAAGGACACTTATAAGTCCTTAAGAAAAAGATACACTTCTTGAAAAATGGACAAAACACATAAGTAGCTATTTCACAGAAGTAGAAATAGGAGTGGTCAAATACTACAAGAAAAGATGTTCAGCCTCAGTAGCCAGGAGCATGCATTTTAAAACTATATGACGTATTTTTAATATATATATATTTATTGATTTTTTTACAGAGAGGAAAAGAGAAGGAGAGTTAGAAACATCGATGAGAGAGAGTCATCGACCAGTTGCCTCTTGCACACCCCCTACTGGTACATGCCCTTGACCAGAATCGAACATGGGACCCTTCAGTCCGCAGGCTGATGCTCTATCCACTGAGCCAAACCGGTTTCGGCAATATATGATGTATTTTTTATTTATATCTACCAGAATGATAAAATTTAGAAAGCCTGATTGTACCAAGTGTTAGTGGATATGTAGAAGTGTAACAGATATTGTTTTGCACTACTGGTGTAAATATAAATTAATATAACTTTTGGAAAATATTGAACTTGAAGGTATACCTACTACATGACTGAAAGTTCAGTTGGTAGGTCTATACCTTGGAGAAACTCTTGAACAGGCATAACACAATGTATCTAGCAGCATTGCTTATAATAGGAATAAATGAAACAACTCAATTGTTTATCAACTTGGGAATGTGTTAAAACATTTGCCATATGTTATTTTATACTGCATTGAAAGTGAAGGGATAATTATACTCATTGATCAGTATGAGTCTCAAAATATATTGAAAAGATGCCCTAACTGGTTTGGCTCAGTGGATAGAGCATCAGCTTGCAGACTGAAAGCTCCCAGGTTCGATTCCCATCAAGGGCATGTACCTTGGTTGCGAGTACATCCCCAGTAGGAGGTGTGCAAGAGGCAACTGAATGATGTTTCTCCCTCATTGATGTTTTTAACTCTCTTTCCCTCTCCCTTCCTCTCTGTAAAAAATCAATAAAATATATTTAAAAATATATATTATATATATATATAGAAAAGAAAAAATAGTTTATTAATAAACTTTATATATAAATTTAAAAACATGCAAAGTAAATGAAGGGTCTATATATGCAACAAAACTTTAGTAAAAGCAAGGGGATTTTAAACACAATTTTTAAGATGTGGCTTAGTGTGGAGGCAGTGGTATAGGATAGGGAGCTTCAGAAGTATTGTAGATATAATGTTCTATTGCTTAAGCTGGGTTCCTAAATCTTTATAGCATTATTTTAATTTATATATACATTGAATATCACCTTTTGAAAGTGTGAAAGATTTAATAATAGCAAAATAAGATTTGTATAACTAAGCCTTTCTTAATCAACTATTCTACTACTTCATAGCATTGATGTCAGGAGATTTCCATATTTCCAATATAAATCTCTGACTCGGTTTCTTTTTCATTCCAAACTATCTCATGCCCTCCTTTTCTTTTAGGATTTCATTGTGCTTCATAAAGTACTTGCTGAAATACATGTTCCTGAAACATTATTGTTAACAATTTGCTACTATTGGTAGGAATGCCCTTGAAAGTGTTGGAATCGTTTTGCAGCAGGAATTCTTTGTTGGTTTTCAGCTAGTCCTTGGTGGCAGTGGTGTAAAACTGTAAATGAACTTTTTTTTTATGCATATATATGAATAGCTTGATTTTTCTCCTCCCTTATCAACAGGCAAGTGAAAGACCAGAATAAGAAGGTAGCAAATCTGAAGCACAAGGAACAGGTGGAAAAGAAGAAGAGTGCACAGATGCTGGAAGAGGCTCGGCGAAGGGAGGACAGTCTCAACGACAGCTCCGCACAACTCCAGGTGAGAAAACAGGACAGTCTGTAAGGCTCTGGTGAAGATACTTGATCCAGAATTGCATGTTGTTTTTCTCTTCATCTCTATCCTTCTCTTTTTCCTCTTTCTAACCCTGCTTACTGCCTTCCTCTCAGATCAACTGCTTAGCAATAAAGGAATGGCTTTAAATAGAAAAGGCAAGTTTTATTCCACAGCTTTGTGCCCACACCTCAGCATTGGAGAAAGTTCATCTTGCTTCAAGTTGGTCGCACTTAATTGGTAAGTTTTATTTCAATTTACTGAGTGGGTACTGTTTAGCTTTAGGGTGGTCATTGTAACTATTTTGCATTTTTCTTTATTAAAGTGCAATTCTGGTCTTGGTTTATGTCTATATTTTTAACTTTCTTTCTCCCTTTTCTCTCCACTTTCCACTCCTATTTTTCCCTCCCTCTTTATTTCCTTCCTTTTTAAAAATTCAGAGAGCATATTTCACAGTCATGCAAGATGTATAAACTATAATTTTCTACCTCAATGGAGTGATAATTATGTGTGAACCTAATTACAGATTAAGTTAAACAAGGTTCAATAACAATAGTAGCAGTGACCATATGATAAGTGTCAATTGTATGTGTTGGCGGGTGGGGAGGGAGCAATTGACTGGTATTTCTTTCTCTCTCTCTTTCTCTCTCTCTCCACACTCCCCTTCCCTGCTTCCTGGTGAGGATTACAAAAAAATAAAAATAAAAAAGAATGAAAAGAATGAGGAAAGTCTCTAATGAGTGATTTCTAGGACATTCTGTCAAGTGGGAGAGGACACAAAAGACTATAATATGCTACTCTTGGTAAAGAAAGTAAAAACATATGATCTTATTTTCAAAAGAAAACAGGAAGGATAGACTAGAAACTAAAGAAACCAATGATCTGTGGGAGTAGTTGGGAGAGGAGTGGAAAAAGGGGGAAACCAGATTTTGGTTTCTATACATCTTTCTCTACTAGAATGATCGAAGATTTTTTGGAAAAGTGGTTGATTCTAGGGCTGGGGCAGGGAAAATACACACTGAGCCTGGACAACCTTGTGGTTTCAGAAAATAGGAACATGGTCAACAGAAAGATCTCTCTCATGAGCCTGGATGACCTCGTGGTTTCAGAAAGTAGGAACATGGTCAACAGAAAGATCTCTCTCATGAGATTTGGGGTCTTATAATGTTTTATTAAGTATATATGTGACTATTTTAAGACTTGATTATACAATGTTTTTTTTAAAGTATTTCTAGCATGGTACATATATTCTCATATTTAAACTATTTTACAATTCCAATTGATAGTCATGCATATAGGACATGAATATTAAAGACAATGAGGCACATACTGGTGATTCTGTGGGGGTTTTTTGTTTGTTTGTGTGTTTTTTAATTATAGTGCCTCTTTTGTTGATGTACTGCATTTAGTTTTGCTAAACTTTGTTTCCCTTACTCAGGAATTTCAGAATGAAAATTTACCATTTGTGATACTATGGATAGACCTAAAGGGTATTATGCTAAGTGAAATAAGTCAGAGAAAGACAAATACCATATGATTTCACTTATATGTGGAATCTAGAGTAGTGGTTGCCATAGGGGAAGAGGTTTAGGGGACTGGGTAAAAAAGGTGAAAGAGTCAAGAAGTACAGATTGTTAGTTACAAAAAAGTTATAGGGATGTAAAGTACAGCATGGGCTATATAGTCAATAATATTATAATAATTGTATATGGTGCTGGGTGGGTACTGGAAACATGGGAGGGAATACTTTGTAAAGTATATGATTACCTAACCACCATATTTTACACCTGAAACTACTACTAAATAATATTGAATGCAAATTATAATTGAAAAAATAAAATTAAAAAAGAATTTAGCTCTGTATAATTAAATTCTGTTTTAAATCTGTGTAGAGACAAATAAATGTTGACCCCGCCTTTCTGTGAACATTAAATATGTTCATTATAACTTTTTTATGTGTATATGTCAAAAGTTGTGTTACAGTGCAATTAATAGAGTAATTGCTTGTATGAAGAACTGAAATTAGGTAAATCCCAGCAGCAAGAGCCTCTCAAATAAGGCTATGGAAACATGATTGTAGGTGATTTGACTGATTCTAATCTGGGGATTAGAAAATCTCTCATTGAAAGCCTACTCATCTTTTAGTTTCAAATCAAATGCTCTTTCCTTTGTGAAGTCTGTTAAATCCTCTTATTTTAACCTAGAGGCCCGGTGCATGGATTCATGCACTGGTGGGGTCCCTTGGCCTGGCCTGGCCTGTGCCCTCTTGCAATCTGGGACCCCTCATGGAATGTTGGACTGCCAGTTTTGGCCCAATCCCCCCAGGCCAGGCTGAGGGACCCCACCAGTGCACAAATCTGTGTACCAGGCTTCTAGTATGCACATAAGATCTTTGGTTAATTTCTACCTACCCTCCCCTTTCCCCCTCTGAGATTCATCATTCTGTTCCATTATTTTCATGCCTATGCATTGAGCGTCTGAACTTTGGTGGTCAGTGCATGCCATAGCTACTGGTTGAATGGTAGAATGGTCAGACAGTTGCTTAGGCTTTTATATATATAGACTAGAGGTCTGATGCACAAAAATTCATGCAAGAGTAGTCCTTCCTTCCCTCAGTTGCTGTCACTGGCTTCCCTCCTCTGGCCAACTGTGGGTACCCAGGACCCGGGCTGGCTTGCTTTGGGCTGCTTGCAGGCACCCGGGACCCTGGCTGGCTTTCCTCAGGCTCCAGCTTTGTCAGGAAGGATGTCCGGAGTGACATCCAGAAGACGTTCAGTCTAATTAGCTTATTACCCTTTTATTATTATAGATTAATCACACCCTCTGTTTTAATTCCATTAGAGTTTATTTCTACTTTGATTTTAGGTCTTATTTTATCTTACTCATATTATTTTCTAACTAGAGGCCCAGTGCAAGAAATTTGTGCAAGGTAAATCCCTAGGCCTCGCTGGTGATTGGGGCCAATCAGGGGCCATTTGGGACTGCGGGAGGTTGGCTGGCTGGCCCCGATTGGGGCGGATCAGGGCATCCAGCTGGGGAGGGGTTATAGGAGGGCTTGTCTTGGCCCCATCTCACCCAGTCCTGATTGGCCGGACCCCAGCAGCAAGCTAACCTACCGGTTGAAGTGTCTGCTCCCTGGTGGTCAGTGTATGTCATAGTAACTGGCTGAGCGGTCAGCTGCTGAGTTGGACACTTAGCATATTAGGCTTTCATATATACAGATGATTTTTTGTGTTGTTCTCCCCAGGTACTTGGGTTTGGGAACCATGTCTTGGTACTTTGTACATAACTGGTTCTCTAGAAAAACTTTAGTTGCATTGATAAATGTCAAGAACTCTCATTCACAAACATCTTAGACTGGCCTTTGGAGTTACCCATTTTCTAAACCAGTTAAGTACAGTTGAGTTTTTATCAATGTGGGGGTTAGGGGCATTGACACTCCCACGGGTTGAACATCCCATAGAACTTTTGATTCCCCCCAAATTTAATTGTTATTAGTCTGCTGTTCACTGGGAGCCATACTGATAACATAAACAGTTGATGAACACATATTTCGTATATTTATTATGTTTTCTTACAATAAAATAAGCTAGAGAAAAGAAAATTTTATGAAGAAAATAAAAAGGAATAGAAAATACTGTTTATTAATACCATAAGTTCGTGTCATCTATTTAGAAGATGAATTGTCTCTCTTTGCATTCATGACATATCTGACCTTTTCTTAGTCTTTTTTGGGCTTATTTCTAGGATGTACAGTTCATCTGCAAGTTTCTACAAATTGTTGCAAATTGCCAACATTTTTCTAATATATTTATTTTTTAAAATCCACATATGAGTGGATCCAACAGTTTAAATCTGTGTCATACAAGGGCTAACCAATAACATAAACAGTGTATTTCTAGCCTCCTTTTTAAGTGAGCTAGCCAACTAGCATAGCTATTCTATTCTGGGTAAGCTGATAGTGTTGGTATTCCTTATATACAGTTTATTGGTTTCCTAATTAATTTATGCTCTTCTGCTTATGCAGAATTTTTTTTTCCTATAGATTTCCAGTTTTGCTACCTAAAGACTCTGGTTTAAAATGAACCTTGGTTGATGAACTATATCCTGTTCTTGTTTCTGTCTTCTTGATTGTTCCTCAGCCTATATGTTTAATTTAATTTAATTTTATAATTGCTCCTGCATGATTTACTAATTCTTCCATTTTCTTCGTAACTAGTTTATATTGGCTTGTCTATTAAATTTTAAATTTTCTTTTTTTTATTTTCTTAATGTTTTGCACAGGTAAGCTGTTCATTAACTATAGCTATAATTATTGTTGTATTATAAATAACAAATAAAATTTAAAAATTTAGTTAAAATTTAGAAAAAAATTTGATGTTATTACATTTAACATTCTAATGTTCTCTAATATTTCATAGGTTTCCCTTTAACAAAAGGTTTCATATTTTAACAAAAGAAATATCCTCTTCCCTCTGTTGGGAATATTTACCTTATATATTTTTATATTTTAAGCAATAACATTCACTTTGTCTTCTGACAAAACTACCAAGTTTTGGTCACATTTTACTAAGACAAGGCAGACTGGACTAGAAGCATGGCTCATATTAATAGTGGTTTGGTATTTTGTTTTTATTTATAACAAAGATAAGTATCTGAATTGAATCTTGAGGGAGGGTACTGTCAGAGAGATTAATGGGACTGCTGAAATAACACTTGGGTCTTCTGAGACCAATGATGTGAAGAATATAATTCAAAGGAAGTAAAAACAATAAGAACAGAGATAGGGGAAGCAACTCTCTGTATATGAATATTGCCTTAGATGCAGAATTAGCAAAACATTTGTTTTTCTTTCAAATTTGATTTGATTTACTCTATCTACAATTTTTTTTTTTTTTAATTTTGGTAAGATATTTGTTTTTCCTTTTTGAAATGCCACCGTGGCAGGTAGGCGGCAGACCAGTCGGGGCCTGCCTGCCAGAGGGAAG